TCTATCCCCTTATTGAATTCTATTTTCATGTCCTAGATTGTCTTTATCATTTCCATTAACTTTATGCTTGTGTTCTACTTAAGAACTTTCATTCCCTTAAGCTGTTTCTTGGTGTCTTCTTTTTAAGTTTATGGTTATCCTTTTAATGCCTGGGTCCTGGAGTTCATCTGGCATAGGCAAACATTTCTACCCGTTTGATCCTTCATATTGCGGGTATTTTTGCAGTGAGATCAGGGGACATGTGAACTTCTTTTGTTCTGAGTGTGTGAGTGAGTTGGGCCTGAAAACTGGAAATGGCTTGGATGCAATGATGTCAAGGATGTCAAGTGGACAGAGGGGACAAGGGTTTGCTTCCTGTTCTGAGTCTGGAGGGTGGGGGTAAATCTGGCAGGGTGGAAAGGTTGGCTATGGCATGGGAGGATCCTATAGGTTGGGTGATAGGAGGGATGATCCTGGTCAAAGTTTAGAGTTTCTTTTCAGTGCAGGTAGGGGAGGCCAGACTAGGCTGGTGCACTTGTTGTAGGACTGATGGGTTTCAGGGAAAGGCATGGATGGGGGTATCAGGGAGACTCACTGGGTTAGACCATGGAAGAGGACCTGGGAAGTCTGAGTGCTGAGTGGGGGGGGGTTGGGACAGATCAGAAGGAACCTGTGGGTTGTTCCCAGTAGAGTGGATTCTGTCAGGAGTCTAGAGATTGACCACAGGGCAGGTGGATATGAGAAGTCATGGTCCTTTAGTATGTCAGACATGGGACTTAGGTGTCATTCAATCCCAGAATTCTGGGTACCTGTGAGCTACTAAAATGGCTTTTTGATAGAGAAGTTGCTGGGGTTTGAACTGAGAGCCTTATCCACACCAAGCACATGCTCTATCGCTGAGCTACACCTGCAGCGCCTTGGGTCTCTTTAACTTTGTACTGTTAAACAATGAGTCATTTTCATAGTCAGGCAGCTAGCCCAATAGCACACATAGTGAAACTGGGGTCTATTTGGTCGAAAAGATGGAATTATTTCCCACACAGAGTAGCAAATAGTTGGGTGGGTAATAGCCAGAGTAAACTGCTGCTGTTGAGCAGGGTAGCCACATTGGACCTGATAGCGCAGAAGTCAGATCGCACTGGCCGTATGAATTCCCTGGGATTTATAGAAGGCTGTGTGATGATGTGGTTTAAAGTAGGAACACCAAACTAAGACCATCAGTCAAGCCTGCTGGGCGTTGTCTGGAGGCCAGTGGTGCAGGGCTGAGCAGTCATGTCACACAAACAGATTTACTATTCAGACAAACATGACAGTGAGGAGGTCGCATACTGGCATGTCATGTCGCCAAGCTGGTCCCTGAAGCCCATCTGAAGTCTGAATCTGAAGAGAGAAATCTTGGCATTCAGTTGAGTCAGGGATAGGTCCATTATATGATCTACGAACCAGAGCCTCACCTCTTACTGCTTCAGCTGCCATTACCCAGCAAGACAAAGAAATGAAGATGCTGAACCCCATCCCAGCCCCAAGCATTACACAGTGGTCCTTCCTGCCTGCCCGCTTCCCGATAGCACACTTCCATTGATTTCTTACTTCTCACTTTGATATTCAAAGGATATTTGTTTGATAACACTGTGTGAATGTGCTGGGACCTGTTTTCCTTCTTGGGTTGAGCCAGCAAGGCCACAGCCCTGTCAGATGAGTGTGACCTCAAAGCCCTAGTGTGCTCTGTGTCCAGAAGGCCATATTTGCCACCACTTGGAAGCATGCGAAAATCAGATCATGGCTGTTACAGGGATGGTATGAATTTGCTGTTGTGGTTTTTGCTATTGGGTGTTGTACTTATAGTGATATATGGATTTACATTTCAGTGTACTAGAAACTTTCCATTTTATTTGACAAGTCTCTTTCTTTGTACAAACATTGTTTAAAAGAAAAGAATTTAAAAGATTTTATTTACTTACTTATTATGTATACAATGTTCTGTCTGCATGTATGCCTGCATGCCAGAAAAGGGCACCATATCTCATTAGGGATAATTGTGAGCCACCATGTGATTGCTGGGAACTGAACTCAGGTTCTCTAGAAGAGCAGCCAGTGCTCTTAACCTCTGAGTCATCTTTCCGGCCCCCATTTAAAGGGAATTTTTATAATTAAAAAATAATGTCAGTTAAAAGTTCAGCCAGTCTCATAAGCACAGTATAATTAAAATGCTTTGGGGGTATACAATACTTAGATATTAGCATAGCAGTCTTTTATTTTCTATTTTTGAGGAGAGTACTATGACTTTTGACATAATGCAAAGCTGAGGCTTGTCCCTTGCATGGAGGTATTGAATTAATGGATTTCTGCCCATCTAATGTGGTTCCAGTAGCTTCTCCTTATAGGAGGTTAGGGAATGTGTTACTCGTGCTTCTTACTACTGTGACAAAGAACCGGAAGTTCCAAAGTACAAAAGAAACTTAAGGAGGGTTTTGGTTTTGGTCATGGTGTAAAGTGATACAGTTCATCGTGGCAGAAGGCATGGTGGTAGGGGCATAAAGCAGTTGGCCATTAAGCCAAGCAGGGGGAGACAGATGCTATGTTCCACTTGATCTCTTTTTCATTCAGTCTGCAACTTGAGTCCAATGGGTAGGACTTTTATCCTCAGTTAAACCTTTCTGGAAACACGATCACAGACACACCAAGAGTTGTGCCTCCTAGCTGACTCTAGACCCTCCTGAACAGACGATCAAGATGGACTGTGAAAACAAGCCTGCGCATGAGAGCCATTGTGTCTAGACCATCACTAGGCTCAGGGATGTGTGAAGCAAATGTTCAGGGTTGGCAGGGCTGGGCAAACAGCAGGTACTGGGGACCCTGGGAGCGCAGAGCTCAGGGACGCAACTCTACCCCTTGGAAGACTAAGGTCTGCAGGATATGTGCCCGGTGGAACCAGGTAGAGGAAAGAAGGAAAATAGGATGAGACTCGAGGTGACTCAGGTCTAGGAATTAAACAATGACTGACTATCAGGCCACAGAAAAGAAAGCTAAGCATAGGGAACAAAGGTATACAGACCAAAGGAATTTGACAGGACTGGGTGTGGACTCTGAGCTGACAGCTCAAAGTGAAAATTGGTTCCAGGGTCTGGGCAAGGCTGGGCTTAGAGTGGAGGCTAAATAGCTCCGGTCACAAAACTCCAGGAACAGCACACAGGGAAATAAACTGGGAAGAGCTTTGTCAATGGTTTTCTCCTGACTTTGCATTTCCCCCATTTGATACAAATGTCTTGCGGGTCCCTCTACTGACCAGGGTTGGTAATCACTTATCTAAAACATATACAGCATGTCAATCTCCTTGCAACGAAATTAACATGGTAGAGTGGGGTAGAGGGACCTGAGCTCTAGTTTAGCATTTTGCTAATGATCAATTGAGTGATTTTTGTATAATGTATTCAAATCTTTCAGAGCATCTTTTATTATTTTCATCTTTAGCATGAGGACTTTACCTAAAGGGCATCTAAGGACTCTGTAAGTCTAGGCACTTTTGTAATTCTGTGGCCACATAGAATAGTATCCTTTGCTGGTATGCATACAGATAGTTTATCCAAGACTTAGCTGTATATATAGCTACCTTTTCACCTTTTCAGGGTGGACACAATAGCACAGTTGAAAAGGACTTAGTTGAGATTTCTGGGAGCCCAGCAGCCTCCAGAAGGTCCAGAGAGTGGGGGCAACTCTCCCCAAGTGAAGGCAATAATGGATGACTTGTAGAGAAGACAATATGCCAAAATAAAGCAGGGCAGCTTTGTAATATCACTGTTTGCTGGCAACCCTCAACAATGTTGGTGGATATGCACCTCCAAAAATATTTTACTACCTAAACTCTAAACCATTGCTGTAGTTGGGAATTGTTGCTGAAGGAAGTGTTTGTTGATTTTTGTTGTTGTTGTGCTGCTGGTAGGCTGTGTGTGAGTGTGTGTGTGTGTAGAAACCAAAGGTCAATGTGTGTTTCTTTCCCTATTACCTTCCTCTTAATTTTTAAGACAATCCCTCACAGAACCTCCATTGAACCTAGTAGCTAGGCTGGATGGTCAGTGAGCTCCAGGAATCCACCTGTCCCCATGGCCCTCCCCATCCCATCTAAGAATCCACCTGTTCCCATGTCCCTCCTCATCTCCTTTCTCAACCTCAGCGCTAGGATCACACAACAGCGTTTGCCATGTCCTCATGGTGTCCTTGCAGCCATTATCTTCCCAGCTCTTCACTTGAGTTTGAGTAACTTACACATACAGCTTTAGGCTGGCTCATGTTTCATAAGACTTTTTCAAAGATGGGGTTACATGTAGCTCGAGTTGACCTTGAATTTACTATCCTTCTGAGAACATTGAATTTCTGATTCTTCTGCCTCTCCATCCTGAGGATACAGACATGTACCACAATGTCCTGTCTTACACAGCGGTAGGAATGCAACCCAAGGCTCTGCTTCACACTGGGCAGGCCCTGTACCACTGCACCGCCATCTCCCTATAAACATTGTCTTCTACATCCACAGCGAATGTAGATCCCACCCTACACTTCCATTTTGAAAGATGCTTTAAGTCATCTGAATGCATTTCTAATGCTATTCATATCCCTTGTCCTTAGACATTGACGACATATCCTTGCATTTAAAGAATCACCTGAGGCAAAGTGATTATTGAGACCTAAAACAGATTCTGAGTGTCTTCGGGGTGGGCCTTCTAGGTGACCAGCATTGTGAGATGGAATGTGGACAAAGGGGAGATGCTCTGGTTTTATAGGGGCAATATTTAGTTTATATGTTGCCGAGGTTAAATAATAGCTTAGAAACTGCAATAAAGTTCTTTTAAATTATTGTCTTAAAACTGAAGAATGGATAAAGAAAAAAAATGAATGCTTCATGGCTTATGATTGTGGCTGAAAAGGATTTGCACATAAAGCAGGGGTGAGCATCGAACTCATTACCTGTGGGTTTCTTAAGCTCTGGGGATGCCGCTCACTGCCTCCCTCTCACGCCTTTGCAGTTGCTGGCCAACAGCCTCCTAAGAACAAACGTCCAAAGGAACAAGGAGACAACAGAATCAAGCCTACCAACAAAAAGGCCAAACCCAAGATCCCGAAAGGAAAAGACAGGGACTCAGCTGACACAACACCAAAGAACCCGTCCATCATGGTGCAAGCAATGGACAGCGGGCGCTTCCAGAAGCCTGCTGCCACGATGAGTCTGACGGCAGGGCAAACTGTAGAGCTCCGATGTAAGGGAAGCAAAGTGGAGTGGAGCTACCCCTCCTACCTGGACGCCTTCAAGGACTCCCGCCTCAGGTGAGCACCACTGCCTTCCTTCTCATGGCGATGGGCCGAGGCTCCGATTTTATTTCCGTCATTTGATGCCATATTACCTCTGGCATCCAACATCACACTCCGCATGGCTATAAACTACAGTGTCTTCACCCTTCTTGTCTTCACCCTTCTAGCTGACCACTGTTATAAGATGGAGTCTAAAATATAGAATAATGTCCTGCTTTTATTTTTTGAAAGGAAGTACATTTTTCCCTTCACTGAAACTAGAGGGTTTTTTTTTTCTCATTTCATATAGCCAGATTATGGTTTCTCCTCCCTCTACTCTTCCCAGATCCTCCCCCACCTCCTTTGCTGTCTGAATCCACTCTCTTTCTGTTTCTCATTTATAAAATACCCGAGTTCTAAGAGGTAATAATAAAGTAAGGTTAACCCAAAAACTGTCACTTCAGAGTTGGACAAATCAACAGAAAAGAGCCCAAGAGAAGGCACAAGAATTAGACACCCACTCATTTGCAGACTCAGGAATCCTATAAAAACACTAAACGGGAAACCATACTATATACACAGAGGACCTGGTGCAGACCCATGCAGGTCCTGTGCTGCTTCAGTCTCTGTGAGTTGCTTTCTTTGTTCATTTGGAAGGGCGTGTTCTCTTGGTGTGCTCCACCCCCTCTGGCTCTTATATCTTTCCACCTCCTCCCCTGAGCTTTGAGCGGAGGAATTTGATAGAGACATCCCATTTAGGGCTGAGTGTTCCAAATCTATGTTCTGGTTTTATAAGGGCAAGTTTTAGTTCATATTTTGTTTGTTTTGAATGAGATCTTTGAAGCTGAAATACATTTCTTTTAAACTATCATCTTAAAACTAAAGAATGGATGAAGAAAAATTATTGCTTTATGATTATGGCAGAAATTAGTGACATTCTTCCCACAGTTAAAAAGTTGTTACTCATCCCACAGCTTTATAGGAAACCATATGCCAAAAATAAATAGGAAACTGAACTTTTATAGGAAAGCATAGTGCACGGAAATGAATATTTAGTGATTCATTTAGTGAAAAAAGAATGCATTCAGTATTTTATGGTCTTTTAAACAATCATAAGGAAAACCAAAATGGCCTATTGGGTTCCTATGAGCAAACTGCTTTGTGACAAATTTTAATTGCTTTGAAACCTTTCAATTGTATGTGATTAGTTTTATTTTTGTGAATATATTATTGGCACAAAGATTTGTTATGTCTGAGTGACTATCTTCTGGGGGTGGGGCTTCTTCAGGAGTAGTGACTAAGATGATTGAAGATGAAAAACTGCTGCTCAGTCATAGATACATTGTCTAGTGTGTGCAAGGTTCTGGGTCCAGAAAACACACAGACACGGACACACACACACACACACACACACACACACACACACCACAGAGCTGTAAAGCAAGACAGGAGAGAGTCTACTTCAGATGGTACCAAGCAGGGCACTGAGTACCAGCTACAGTGTGCAGGAATGTTGAGGGTTAAAACTCTGTGTATCTTGGAGGAAGTTACCTGTGTATCTTAGTTTCCTTGGGTACAGAATGAAGGAGTAGAATGCCATGATTATAATAGTCTGTGTGATGACTACTCTTGGTTGTCAACTTGGTTACATCTGGAATTAACTAAAACCCACTTGTCTGGGTATACCTGTAAGGGATTTTTTCTTAGATTTATTTTATGAGTTCTGTTCCTTTAGAGAATGCTAACAGATTTTTTGCCATCAGAAGTGGTTCTAGGGAAACTGACGTACAAGGATGAAATTTTTTTAGGTATCTGGAATAGACTTTCCAGTTTGCCAACACCTATAGTTACTGATGTCTCTCCAGTTACTGAACCCTCTTCTCGAAGCTCAGAGTGCTAAAAGTCCATGGTGTGAAACAGAGACACATTAAGGATTGATATAAACTTAAGGAGACAAATGTATTTGATTATACTGATTCAATGATTGTGAGAGGCAACAGTTTTCGTGATTCTGTATGTAAAACTTCTGACAAGGAAAAACAAGGAAAATGATGATGCTGGTTTGTTGCTCCTGAATTCATGAATAAAATGACAAAAGAATGAGCTCTGTGATAAAAAATTAACTAACATCTAGCATCTCAGAATATGGTGAAGGACAACAGTGATCTCAGTGACAAAATTGACCATTTCCAGGTGTGCATAAACAGTCTAACGTTTCAAAGTGACACCTGGGAGAGAATCTTCTCTCCTAGCAGCCACAGAGCTCAAGGAAAATCAAACCAAAGCCGATAAGGTTGACCGAATTACAGCAAAATTTAAGTTCCAGCCTTGGAGGGTCAGCAATTAAAGTCAGGGCATTAACTGGTGAGAATGGGATCTTGTTACGGGATGGAAATGAATGAGAAGACCATATTGAGACTGAGAATTTTGACCCTCAGATTCTCAAGCGTTATCTCACCTGAGGAATTAGACTCTCCACCCTCAGAAGAAAATGTACCCACACCCCCATCCTCTGAAATATTGCTGTGCTGGCTAGTTTAATGTGAACTTGATACAAGCTAACATCATCCAAGAGGAAGAAATCTCAATTAAGAAAATGCCTCCATAAGATCAGGGTGCAGGCAACCCTGTAGGATGTATTCTTAATTATCCATTGGTAGGGAAGGGCCCAGCCCATTGTGGGAGGCACCATCCCTGGGATGGTGGTCCTGGGTTCTATAAGAAAGCAGGCTGAACAAGTCACAGCAGCAGCAACCCTCTGTGTTGTGGCCTTTGCATCAAATCCTGTCTCCAGATTCCTGCCTTGTGTGGGTTCCTGCCCTCGTTGCTTTGGGTGATAAACTGTTATAAAGAACAGTGAGTAAAATAAACCCTTTCCTCCCCTAGTTGCCTTTGGTCATGGTGTTTAATCTCAGCAATAATAACCCTAATTAAGACAATTCCCTTTTCCTCCTTTGAGGGACTTAATCCTTAACCAGCAGTGACCTCTGAAGGAGATGCCAGGCAAAACAATATTTAGCATCCCCAGGGCCCATCATGAGTTGCCTCTAGACCTATAACCAGGCTTATGCCTAAGCAGGCTCGTAGAAGGAGGTAGAATGTGTAGTCCACGAGGTGTGCTACACCACTGAAGAGCTTAACGAGTTTGCTAATCCATTCGAGCAGAAGTGTAGCAAATACCTGTAGGAATGGGCTTTAAGGGTGTGAGATAATGGTGGGAGGAACACCAAACTGGATCAGACTGAGTTTATTAGTAAGTGGAGATTCTAGATTTAATATGAAAGCTTCCACAGATTTTTTTTTCTAATGTCAAAAGTTGGAATGGTTGGCTGAAGCATTTGTCAAAAGACAGCTGACTAAAAAGGAGTTGAGGATGCCTGATATTCCTTGGCTTAGTGTTGATGAAGGAATTTTAAGGCTAAGGGAATCGCAGTACTGGGGTGGGTATGCTGTGTCAAACCTAATCCTCCTAATCTAGTTTGGAGGTCCATAAGACATAATCTTCAGTAATCCTGTAAGACGTAAAAGGTAAGTGGGTACCAGTTCATTGAAGAGTGTGTTGTCAACCCTTTCCTTGAACCATAACTTAGGGCTGGAGATGCTGCTTCTCAGCTGTAATGGGGGTAATTGAAGCCCAGAGTAGCATTGTGTCAGGTGGTGGCACGGAGTCTCCAAGGCAAGGTTATTGTTATCTTAATGGGCAGCGTAGGCAAAGCAATATTGACAATGGCCTGACCATACCAGTCAGCACAGGCAAAGCGAAGTGTTCGGTGGCATGACCTTGAGTACTGGCTAATCCGTCATGGCATGGGATAGATAAGAAGCCTGCTGCGTTTCTGCTTCATCTTTTTAGTGAAAAAAATCTCAAACAAATGAAGGAAAGGCTACATTGTGGGAAAAAGAGATCTCAGCCTGTGAACTGATTTCCAACTTGAGAAAGTTTGCAGACCCAGAACCACTTGAATGAAGGAATGACCAGGTTACCCTGAGGAAGGACCTGGATAAAACACCTAAAAGTTTTAATGTTAGCCTTTCTCCCGTTGTTTCCCCGAAGGACCCATAGTCCTTTCACAAGGGTAACTGTGAACCGGGTGAAAGGAAACAATAAGACTTTCCAGGTTTTATTGCTGATTCTGGAAGACCCCCCAAGAAACATTGTGGCCCTCCTGTTAAAGGAGGAGCTTATGGAGGCCAGGTGATTAACTGAGTTTTGGCTGAAGTCTGACTCAGAGTAGGTTCCCCAACTCATCCTGTGGTTATTTCCACAGTCCCAGATGTATATTTGGGACAGATATGCTTAAAAGTTGGCAGAATCCTCACATTGGTTCCCCGACCTATGAAGTGAGAATGATTATGGCTGGAAAGACTAAATGGAAGCTGTTAGCATTCCCTGACAAAGAAAATAGTGAATCAAAAACAATATTGCATCCCTAGAGGAACTGAAGAAATTAGTACCACCACCAAGGGCTTGAAATATGCAGGGATGGTGGTTCCCCTCATCTTACTTTAACTATCCTATCTGGCCAGTGCAAAGACACATGGGTCATGGAGAATGACAGGTGACTATCAAAAACTCAATCAAGTGACTCCAGTTGCAGCTCCTGTACCAGATGTGGCATCTATAGTTCCACAGACTTATCTCCTGGTACATTGTATGCAGCTACTGATCTAGCAAATGTCTTCTTCTCGGTACCTGTCCATACAACTGTAAGAAGCAATTGTTTTCAGTTGGCAAGGCCAGCAGTATACCTCTATAGCTTGGCCTCAAGGACGTATGCAGCTTTCACTCTCCAGTCTATGTCATAATTTTGCGTGAAGGGTCTTGATCATATGTCTCTTCCACAAAATGTCACATCGGTCCACCATATTGATGACATTATGCTGATTGGACCAAGGGAGCAGGAGGTAGCCACCACTTTGAACTTGTTGATGATACATACACACATCAGAGGATGAGAAATCAGTCCAACCAAAATCCAGGGACATTCTATCGCAGTGAAATTCTCATGAGTCCAGTGGTGTGGGGCATACAGATG